GCAACCAGAGTCCAGTTTTTGAACATATGAAAATTCTGTTTTATTATACTATGAATAATAGCATCTAAAGTGAAGAAGTAACCAATACTCCATGGTAACTAGATTATCTTTAGTACTCTGAATGAACTCTTTAATGACCCTTGAATTAAAAAAAAATTGTTACAGAAATTTAAAGCTAAACGTGAATGTTCGTGTTCATGGTCAAATAAATGTGATTATTATAAACACCTATATGATTTGGGATTTTGGTTTTATTTTGAAATGAGAGCTCTTTCATTTACAAGTTCACTAAAAACCAAAATGTTTCTTAAAAATCACTTGAGCTTGTAAACATTAAAAAGAAGGAATAACTATTGAACAAATAAGACAGACATTGTCAAGAATGGACAGGACTTTGTAAGGTAATAATTAAGACTAGTTAATATATATGTGGAAATGTTCTGACTGGGCATTTGGTATATAATAATGTGAATCATATAATAGAAATATAATAAATATAGCATACATTTGCATTTATTTGCAACCTCAGACAGACAAGGTGAGTCCAAATAAAGCTAGCTAAATCATAGTCCCTTCTTACATGTGTCAAGAGGTCTTGAGATCAGTTTAAAAAACATGTTTTATTTACAACTAATGTGAATACTAATATTTGCTGTCATCGGCTTCCTTCTAATATAACATATGCATCACTGGCCACCTGCTCTAAGTAATTTTTGAGGAATTTGCATGTTCCCAGACAAGGAATGTTGTGAACAGAGATGATTCCATTTATCCGTTGTTAAAAATGATGGTTAATTTTTCCCTGTAAGTTAATTTCTAATTATGATAATATGGAAGCTATGGACAATGCCCTTTCTTAGACATACTGGGATGTAAAAGTGACTGTAACTTGTTGAAACTCAGCCCTGGTATTGTGTTACTATTATTTCTCCTGGGGAGACTTATCAGCCTGTCACAAAAGATGTAAGAAAAATCCAACATTCCTTTTGGAATATGATGAGCCTTTGTCACCCACAATGCAATTAATGTTAAAAATAGAAAGAATGGCTATGATATGATTATGATTAGGCAGAGATGAGCTATTGTCCAAGTAACAGGAACTAATCTAGCGGGCCAAAGATGACCTGCACAGAACCATCAGTGTGCTGATTGCCATTTCTCTCTGAGTTTGATGAAATATTCATGCCTTTGCTCTCCTCTCTGCAAGCACTATTGATTTCTTGTATAAACGCTGCTATATTTAGTCTAGACAAATGGAATGTGGATTGCTGCTGAATAAATTGGATGAAAGACTGGGATCTTGCCTGCCACTTTCTCTCAGTCTTGGGCAATTATTTATAATCAAGAGCAGTTTTTGTAAGTTGAGGGTGATTTTTCACAATTTAGTGATTAGTCTCTGAACAAAGGCAAGCAGTTAGACACAATCATTTCTGTTGGGATAGCAGGTTAAGAAGTCAAATTACCCTTTGAGGTTTACAATAACTGTTTCAGAGACTTGTAGGACTTTTTTTCTTATCTTAAAAAATTTTTTTTAGAGGTTTGATGTTTGTAGTTCATGGATAACAAGAATGCCAGCAAGAAGAGGCCCCAGGGTCTCTTGAATTTTTACATTTTGTCTTTATAGGGTTAAGTTCTGACCTTTGTTTTTTGGGATTTCCATGTAAAAGCTGAAGGCTGTAGTTGGCCTGTTTAATGTAAAAATGAAATATATATTTAACTGCCATTGCTTTTGGTTGGAATTATGCCAACTCTTTAAATTAATGTTCAATATTTCATGTTACTCTAGAGCCTTACTAAAAGTTCTACATTGGGTGCTGCAATTAAGAGATCTTACAGGCCATCATTCTAATTTGCATCTGAACTTGTCATGATTAATTTCTTTCCTTTCACAGATATCATGTTTGAGAAGTCAATGTCCATCAACCTATAGTTCATTTATAAATTATTTTCCCATTTTCGTTAAAGTGACACATAAAGTACCATCAGTGCAAACTTCTGGTCAATCCATGGCAAAATAACCAATGTTAGCAACCCAAGATTGCTATCAGTCTATAAGCACAGGCACATGCACATGGACATTCAACTCAGATGACCAGCAAGGACATTTAAGTATATGAAGCCTTAACATCTGTAGACAGGATTTCTGTTAGCCTTTCTTTCCTCACTGAAAATAACTCTTAAATTCGCATGGAAAATTAACTTTGTAGTTTCCAAACTGGAATCTGCAAATCTAAGTTAGTTACTTATAGTAATAGAGCATTAGATGCAATTTGGAAAAATATAGAAAAGTAAAGGGAGAATCATTCATATTTCCACCTAAAATACAGCCATCTTCTGTTATCTACATCACCAGTCATTGCTATTAGAATTTAAAAACTAATACGACTTAAAAACCGTGGTAGAATATATACTCAATAAAGGCTCGAATTTTTGTCTTTTTTTAAAATACCAAACTCCAACATCTAGAATGAAGCCTCGGACTTTAAGGGGTTTGATAAATCTATTTTGACTACATTACTTATATGTATATATTTTAAATGGTTGTCATAGTGTAAATATCACTTATATCACTTTTTTCATTTAATGTTACAACTTTTTTAATGTTCCCATAAACATTATTTTTAATGAATGCATAGTTTTTCTACCAAATGGATGTGACATATTTTGCTGAGACATTTCCTTGTAGTTGGTGATTTCAATAACAATAATATAACTCTAGTAAATAATATAGCGTTGGACTATTTTTTTTCCCTACTTAGTATTATCTCCTGGAGATATAATCCTAGAGTTGATGAACCTGAATCGAATGGTAGAAATATGTAACATCTCTTGATACGTATTACCAAGTTGGTTTTGCATAAGTTTTTTACCAGTTGACAGCTCCACTTGCAATAAATAATTGTCTCTTTGGTCATACGCTTAGCCTATACAATGGGGCATTGTACACACTTATGTATATACGTGGGTCATATATATGATAATAATGATGCTCTATTTCGGTTCTTAATTTGCAATTCTTTACTAGTGAAGGTGATTTTCAGTTGTTGTATTCTTTTATTTGTTTTGATCTAGATGTTTTAGTGTTTATTTTCTAATATTTAGTAGAAATTATGTACCATTTTATTTTCATATTTGTTTCGAATATTTTTGTTTTGTTAGCTACTTACTATTGATGGTTTATTTTAATATATAAGAAATTTCCATTTTTATATCATAAAAAAGCAAAAACAAACATCTGTTAAGGGATGTGCTACATGCTATTAGTACTTACTGTTATTATCTCCAGGTTACAGATGAGGGAACAGAGGCCTAGGGAAATTAATAACATCTTCAAAGTTACACACATCAAAGAATCAAATAAGCATTTAGATTATACAGCAGAATTTGAAAACCGGTACATGTAAAGATTGAAGCATTTTGTTTGGTTCCTGGAGTATTTAAAACTTTTGAAGAGCCTGGTGCTGTTACTCGTGCCTATAATCTCAGAACTTGGGAGCCTGTCAGGCAGGAGGATCACTTGAGGTCAGGAATTCAAGACCGGCTTTGGCAACATAGCAAGATAGCACCCCAGCTCCCCACTACCCTGACCCCAGCTATAAAAAAAATAAGAAAAATTTAGCTGGTCATGGTAATATGCACCTAAAGTCCCAGATGCTTGGGAGGCTGAGGCAGAAGGATCCCTTGAGCCAGGAAGTTCTAGGCTGCATTAAACTATAATTGCACCACTGCACTACAGCCTGGGTGAAAAAGTGAGCTCTCCACCCCCCAAAAAATATTTCAATTTAATTTTCAGTTAACAATTATTTCTGTCTACACTGGATCTATATTTTCTTTTCCCCCATCAACTCCCACCAATAATTGTTTATATCTGAGTAGTGACTGGCCTCTTTTGATAAGCCATGGAATCCAGTTTGCCAATTTCCACTCCAAAATTCCTGTTGTCTTTAGCTTAACCTTTTACAGTGAACTACACAATTTTCCTGATTCTTGTGGGTAAGGGTCATACTCAAAATATTTAACAACCAGATTGGCATGGATGCTGGTCATTCAGAATATCAGAATGGACACCAACAATAAATAAATTGTATATTTGGATAGCTACCCTGTCTGTGAGTTTTTCTGCTTAAACTAAGCCTTTAGAAAGCAGCATTCTTATCTACTAAGAGTTTTTGCTAAGAATTTTATATCTATTTTCTAATTTAATTTGTATAAATTTAAATATTATCATCTATAGTTATTCTCAGATCATCAAATCTTTTTTTACTCCAGTGGTTTGATTAAATACTTGTTTTAAGTTTCCTCATACTTTTTCCACCTTATTTATTTTAGGAGTGAGGTAGCTGAGATACAGATTGTTACCATTTAAACATCAGGACTCAGAAACTTGGCTACTTTCACTCCTTGATGTTTGGATCTGGCACCATTGCTGTGGTTAATCACCGTTTTCCACATTTTAGCATGCAGTTTTGTATTCTGTCTTTGGTACATCCAACAGTGCTGCAAATACATTATATTACAACCTTTACTTTGTAAAGTTTAAGATATCTTCTGACTCTGATTACAAAGGAAGATGTTCTTAAGTGTACAAATTTAGTCATGGTGGAAGTTCTCTCTTAGGGCATCTTTTCCTCAACATAATTCCATTTTTTTTTTTTTTTTTTGTCCTCGCTGACTTGATTGTTGTTAGGGGTTCAGTAGAATAAGTTTTATGAATGGCCGATACCAGAGAGCAATTGAAATCATCTGTTTGTAAAAGGGAATTGTGGAAGATTCATGGAAGAGTGCAAATTGCTGAAATTAGCCTATGGCCCATTTATCAAAACTAATGTACAAATGCCTTTATATCATCATTATAAAGAAATGGCTAGAGTCATTGGCATAAAATTTGTTGTACAGGGTATAATGTCATATACTTTTTATTTGTTTCCAAATCAATGTGCTAATTTCCAATCCTCTATTACCCTCCTCCACTCCATTTCCCTTTTTTTCTGGTTCTTTAGTGGATGTGAAGTCAGAAGTTCCTGTGGGCCTGGAGCCCATCTCACCTTTAGACCTAAGGACAGACCTCAGGATGATGATGCCCGTGGTGGACCCTGTTGTCCGTGAGAAGCAATTGCAGCAGGAATTACTTCTTATCCAGCAGCAGCAACAAATCCAGAAGCAGCTCCTGATAGCAGAGTTTCAGAAGCAGCATGAGAACTTGACACGGCAGCACCAGGCTCAGCTTCAGGAGCATATCAAGGTAGCAAATGCTTCTTTGTCTGTGACCTTACTCAGGAATCTGCACCGTGGTGGGCATGAGCAGTGCCCATGGGAACACTTTGCGGGTAGATTCACTGTGATTAAGACATGGATATATGGCTTGAAGGGAATTGTGATTTTACTAGTGAAAACTTTGGGTAAGTACCTGTTAAAACCTGTTTTGCTTCTCAGAGGGACCTTCTTTATCCTTTAGCATATGGAATCAATAGTAGGGAATAGTAACTTCCTATCCTAATTTTAGGTTCTCTCCTACGTGATTTTGTTCATTTGCCCCATCTGTTCTCCACCAGGAAGAAGCATGAGCCTAGAAGACCCATTTTATATTTCATTTCTGAAGAGTCTACGTATACTATTTGTGAGAAAGGATAAATTAGTCACCTTATGTGAAGACAGCTGTTTTTGAAAAACAAACATGGTGTATAAGTAGATGTTCTGAGTATGTCCTAATCTTCCTTATAGAAAAAAACTCATAATGTATACATTCATAATAATAGTATAATAAAAAGCTTAAGGGAGTTATAAATGGAGAAACTGGTACAAATGTTTTTATAGACTGTAGATAAGATTTATTGAAAGTATTTGGGAGTAGTTGACAATTTGAGACTAAAGTTGTTTAAATTATTCTAGCACAAATATATCCATATTCCAGAATTTAAAATAATAGCTTATTATCAAATAATATTAGAAGTGTCTGTTTTTTTATTTTGTATCTCCAGAGATAAATATTACTTTAGCTTTATTTGTAAAACATCTCACAACTTCTTGACAAAGACAGTTGAAACAAGGCTATTTAATTTGAATTTATTATGACAGAGAAAAGCAGCAAAGAGTCACAATAAAAATTTTATTTTTCTATACAACTCAAGATGACAAACACTTGCTAATTTATGAATGTAATAAATTATGTTATCTCATACTTTATTATTTTGTATTATAGGAACTTAATTTATTGTTTGCATATCAAGTACAAGCACATCAGTAGAGGGTTGATATAGATAACTAATGTTAATAGTATATAATTTTACCACATTAATATGACAGTTTCTAAGGAAGTAAAAATTCTATCTTCTCTATATTACTTGGTTTACAAGATGTTTCTTAATCCTGGAAGAACTTTATTATCTTATATTTCTAAAAAGGCTCTTTGACAAGTGATATAAAATACATTTTTTTCTTTTACTAGTGAACTTTCCAAAAGGAACTCTTGTATATTATTGATCTATAAAATACCTTAAAGTGAGAGTACTTTCTTTTATCCCAAATGGAATCAGTAGCTCATGGCTACATTTTGAAGTATGGGTAGCCTTTCTTTAGTTTTTAGACTTATTTTTAAATGAATACTGAAGCATTATTTAAATTTAACCTTTGAAACAATAATAGAAACATTGATACCTAGATCTGTTTCTTTCCTTCCAGCATGTTAGGATGGCAAAGAGAAATGAGTAAAATGTACATTTTTCACCATACTTTTAAGATGTAAGGATCGGTGTAGTTCAATTGCTGCTTTATGTGAGTCATGTTTCCCTAAATACAGGGCAATACTGATAAGTTACTGCTTTAGATACTTCTTTTCATTTCTATTGCTGCCTTTTATAGCTATAAAATTGATATAAATTGTTTAGAAAGAAATTTATTGCTTAATTTTACTCAAAAGGTAATAGTAGCAAGTAGATAATTAATTGTTCATTTGGCACAAACAAAACAATAGTGTAGGTTTATTGACATCTGGAAAATATTGAAAAAGTGACTCCTGTGAGAAAAAAGGATTATGAGATAGCTAAAAGGAAAATTTAGCTTTTAAAATGATTTTCTAAAATAATAATTTGTTTTCTTAGAAACCAAAGACATAATTAATATTATCTTTTCAGATTAGGAAGTTTATTGATTTTTAGAATTTTTATTTTGTCTTGTATTTTTTATGGATAAAGCTAAAAGTTGATGTTTTTCATTAAGATTTTATTTTTATGGGAAAGATACAGTACATGATGCTTTATTTATATTAGCTTTTTGAGTCTTTAGCTTCTGTAATAATCACCATTTGTTGAGTTAGATGCTGTTATCCAATTTTTCCACCTAGTAAACTGAGGTAGAGAGAAATAATGTTACCTTTCCAAGGCTACACAGCCAATAAATTGTTGCTCCAAGATTTACAGTCTTGCCTGTCTGCCTCCAAAGCTCTTAAGTTGCCCTGCCTTTCTCATGGGCCAGAACATCTAGAAATAGAGGGCTAAAGTTTTATTTCTTTCTATTGTTTTAAAACTCATTCATGCAATCTTTGACAATGAATAGTAGCTATGGTAATTAAATTGTGTGCTTGTCTAGATTCCTATGAAAGATTAAAGTTCAGATGCATTGGGGCTTTGGGTGAGGCACCAAATTAATTTGACCAACCCAAGTATCTGTATAGAATTTAACGGTAAGGCAGAATTTAAGCATTCCTCCTGCTATAATGGAATATTATTTCATTACAATGGAATAATAACCCCCATTAAGGCACTGCTGTATTGAAGCCAAAACGCTGAAGATTTTAATATGAAGAGTAACCAGAAATGCTTCTGTGTCCTTCTGTGAGTAATAAGGCTATTATGGTTGATATACACAGTTAGCTTCCTGTTGCTCCAGAGTGACTCTGATGCCATTCCATATAATAGCTTTTTATTTTTTTTCTATTACTTTTTGGTATAAAATCAAGAGTTTTAGGCACCTAATACAAAAAACAAAATTTACTAACTTCATTAGTATTGAAAGCTACAAACACATGTTGAGTATCCCTTATCTGAAATTCCCAGGACTAGAAATAGATCAGATTTTGGATTTTTTTTTCTGGATTTTAGAATATTTACATATCTGTACATAATGAGAGTCTTGGAGATGGGACTCAAGTCAAAATATAAAATTCATTTATATTTCATATACATCTTATAGCCTGAAGGCAATTTTATACAATATTGCCAATAGTTTTGTGCTTCAAACAAAGTTTGGGTACATCGAACCTTCGGAAAGGAAAGGTGTCATTGTCTCAACCACCAATGTGGACAATCTGTGGTTGTTTGGCATCACTATCGTTGCTGAGTCTGAATGTGAGGAACATGCCATTGGCATGTCTTGCCCACACACATGCCATTTTGTTACCTTTTGTGAGTGTGCTTATGTGGGTGAATCTGGGTGTATGTGGAAAAAATGTATTGCAGCTGAACGGGGGCTGGAAGGGTCTTTTTTCCCTGGGTGAAGCTGACTAAACTTTGTGTTGTGTGCCTGCATTTTGACTGGAACTCATCATGTGAGGTCAGGTATGGAATTTTCCACTTGTGGCATCATGTCAGTGCTCAAACTATTTCAGATGTTGGAGTATTTAGGATTTTGGATTTTCAGATTAGGGATGCTCAACCTATAATAATAATAATTAAAATCAATAGGGTTCAAACTTAAAAACTAAATTTTATGTACATTATAAATATGTGGCTAAAGAGAGATTGTTCTCTCTCTTACATATGAGGAACTATGACTCCGAGTAGTTTAGTAACTTGTCCAGATTTCGTATCTACTAATGTCAGAACCTAAGTAGAACTCAAGATCCTTAGTTATTCCTCAGTGAGCACGTTTACTATAGTTCGTAGATATATATTTCTCAGTCTGAATGGAAGTGGACATCTCAAGATGTCTATTAAAAAGAATGTTTCAGGCTGGGCAAGATGGCTCACACCCGTAATCCTGGCAGCTAGGGAGGCCAAGGTTGGAGGATCACTTGAGACCAGGAGTTTGAGACTAGCCTGGGGAACATGGCAAGACTTTGTCTCCACTAAAAATGATAATTAAAAAAAAATTAGCCAGGAATGGTGGTATATGCCTGTAATCCTAGCCACTTAGGAGGCTAAGGTGGGAGGATCGCTTGAGCCCAGGAGATTGAGGCAGCAGTGAGCTATAATGGTGCCACTGCAATCCAGCCTGGGCAACACAGTGAGACCCTATCTCAAAAATAAAAATAAAATAGAGAACAAGAATGCATCATATTCATTTCATCCATTGTTTGAAAGTGAATTCAAGGGATTCAGAAAGCTAAACAGTACTACATTAAAATGAAGTTTTGTGGAAGTGGTTTCTTCTTGACCAGTGTCTTTAATCTAAAAGCTTTTGTGTAATGAATGAAGGAATAAAGCTTTTGCTATTTTGATATTTTGAGAGCATATATATTCTACATATTATGAATATATACATTGCATTAGTCTATTGAGAACTTGCTCTGTAAGGTTTTGAAATTTTTAGCATTTGTTAACTTCAGGTAAACTTTTCCCAAATTAACTTAATATCTCACCATTCTGTATTTGCCTTAATTATTTTTACACCATTTCTCAGGCTAAGAATGGAAGATTTCAGTTGTTCATTTATAATGTGAGGGACTTCGTAAAATAGACTTCGGAGCAGTCCCTACCTTTCCCTATTTGTGTGTTCAAAGAAAATTCATTAAAGGAAATAAAGATTTAATTAAAGGAAATGAGAAGACCTGAGTGAATTTATAGTAGTTAGTTTTGAGAGGGATGCACAGATAATGGAGCTACCTAAAACTTGCCTGTTGGTGATGTTAAGACCTTCACTGCATTAGTTGCTTGTCCTTAGATTTCAATGATTTACAGAAAAAGTGGGTACAAATATGAACTAAATACAAACTAGTTCCAAAAGCTCATAACATTTCAGTTTTGGTCAGTGATGACTATGAAGCCTAAAGAAATTGCACACTCTCATGTCTTTCTCTTCTCGCAAGTTGCAACAGGAACTTCTAGCCATAAAACAGCAACAAGAACTCCTAGAAAAGGAGCAGAAACTGGAGCAGCAGAGGCAAGAACAGGAAGTAGAGAGGCATCGCAGAGAACAGCAGCTTCCTCCTCTCAGAGGCAAAGATAGAGGACGAGAAAGTAAGAGGCACCAGGGTAAACGATGGACTCTCTTTCCTCATCGTTAGCTGATCATTATTCAGAACAAAACCTGATAAAGAGTGCAGTTAGACTCATCAAAATTGTCTGTGTTTAATTAAAAGCGTAGATTACAGACCCAACTGTGAAGTTTTGACATTTACATACCAGCTCACATCATTGAGTCTGCAGAGCATCTCAAGAAGCAAACATAGCATTATCTAGCAAAGGTGCTAATTTCTGTTGTTTTGAACCTTAAAAATAATGTAATGCTAAAGCAGTCTAATATATGCCATCTTGTTTAATAATCAGCTTGTATCTATATCTCCTGACTATGCCTTCCTTACTCCTGGCCAAGTAATAATTGCTGTCTAAGTAAAGCCTTGCCTCCATTTAGTTTTGGCATACTCAAACGTTGAGAAGATTTAAGGCATAACACATGCAAAAGAACTATCCACAAGAGGGAGACAGATCCAAATAATTCCCTGGTATTAGGCCAGTTCAAAATCAGGTCGTAGCAAGGTTTAAAATTTGATGACTTGAAGTGGAATTGTCAGCAATATTTATTTGTTTAATGCTCAAAGGGTTTTTTTTTAAACTAAGGTTTTCAAACTAGCAACTCAGAAAAGATCATTTTAATGTGTTTAAGGGATTTAATATGGATCTAATCCCTTAAGATAACTTGATTATTAAAATACAGTGTTTTGTTCCTCTGCAGTATTTTTTAAATGTAAAAAAATTGATTTTGGGAATTCCCTTTCTGCAAAAGTAATTAAAGAAATAGCTGAAGTCTTTTGAAAATTTGCAGTTTAAGTAGTATTTATAAAGCATTACTGTACTATTTTCTAAAGCATATTTGGACTGTGGTTTCTTCTTTTAATAGGAAAACTTTATATGCTGTGACCAGCGATTTTACTTCTTAATCTTTGTTAAATATTCTAGAGGCATGAGAGAACAAAACTCACCATCAACATCTGTTTCTGTGTGTGTGTGTGTGTGTGTGTGTGTGTGTGTGTGTGTGTTTGTGTTTCAGGGGCAGTGGCAAGTACAGAAGTAAAGCAGAAGCTTCAAGAATTCCTATTGAGTAAATCAGCAACGAAAGACACTCCAACTAATGGAAAAAATCATTCCGTGAGCCGCCATCCCAAGCTCTGGTACACGTATGTTCAGTGTTTGGCTGTTTTCATTCCCGGGGTAAAGAACACAGGTTCTGTATTTAGCTGACCTGGGCACAAATCCTTAGCCTGCCATTTCTCAACTGTCTGGCTGTGGGCAAGTTCCTTGAATTCTCAAAGGATCAGTTTCCTTCTCCATAAAAAGAGAAAAATAATAGTGCATGCCCTATAGGGTTGCTGGGACGGTCCTATGAAATAATGTGGTAAAGTACATAACAGAGAGAAGTGCTAAATAAATGGTGGCATTTATCAACTTGAAGGCAAGGAAGTACATACGTTCTTTGATGAATGAATAACTGACAAATATGAGGTGGGCATAGACATTTGTACTTTGCATTTTTCCATTCTCAGCTGGTGCATCTGATATCTATATAGTAATTTCAAAAGATTTGGCAGATTGTGATTTTATTACACTTGACTTGGTGTAAGATGGAGGTCAGCTATTTTTAAAAGTTTAGTAGAATTTTGTCTCAAATGAAAAAAAAGGAAGGAAGAAAGGAAGATAAGGGAGGATAGGGAAGGGAAGAAGGAAGGTTGCTAAATAAATAACTCTAAGTCTTCAGTGAATAGTTTACACCTGCGTACCTCACCTCATTTCTTCCCAGACAGCAAAATAATAGCTTGGCTTCTGACACACAACCCGACAACATAATACATTGTGGTATTATGGTTTTTATGGAACCATATTTCCGTAAGTCCAATACACAAATATTTCAATAAAATATGGAGGATGTGGTGATTTTAAAACTCAGGGCAAAGAACTGATAGGCAAATTATATATGGATAATAGACTAATAGATAATAGTTTCATTTCTTTCTTAAAATTGTTTACCAAATGACATAGAATTTTACACTTACATATTTTTCAATCCGTCACACCATTAAAGATAGAAATAGTACTTGATTACTCTGTTATATTAATACTGTAAGCATCCTGGGAGTTCTATTTAAAGAGTTAATGTACTTATAAGCCTATTTTATAGGTATCTGCCGTTCTCTACATCTCCAAACAGGTAACAGACAGATACCATAATGTTTTATAAATACTTTTGAATGATTTTCATAATTTCTATCATGTATATCAGTTGACATGAAAAACAAATCTCTGAAGAACAATTTCAGATATTCAATCAATATCACAAATTATTTAAAAAGAAACATGATTTTGTTACCTAAAACTACACACATAATTTATAGCTAAATCATAATTCAAAATTAAAGTCAGTTCTAAGAAAAGATAGTAGCATTTTTAAATGAGGAACAGCTACATGCAAAGAATTTGTTGGTTAAGTTCATTAGCTGTTCTCTTAGGTAATATTAAGCATAGCTCTCACACGTTACTTGGCAATATTTACCTCGTTTTTATGGAATTGAGCTTCAGTAGAGTCCAACTTCAGATAACCACAAATGATTAATTTATAGAATCTGAGTTTGCCAGTTATAGCTAGACGAAATATCCTTAAACCAATAAAGTCTCTAAAATGTATGCTTTAAACAAATAATAATGGTAGAACAATCATTGTGATGGTGGCACTATGTTCTGTTCATTGTTTTTGTTACTTATATAATTATAGATATTTATATCTACTATATAGTCAATGTTCAGTCCTATAAACTATTCTCCAGCAGCACAATTGCATTTCTTAGATTGTATTCACCCAGGAAAAAGAAAACATTTTTAAAAATCGGTTTCATATTAAAGAATATGATTCCCATTCTTTACTACTGAAACTGACACGAAAGTCAGGAGATGGGAGTCCACTGGCAAAATCCTGTCTTTTCAATAAAAAAGGCTACTCTCATGTACTCACATGTACTATCTAGCAATTTTTTAAAATGAAGTCCTTGCATATGTTTACTTTTACCTTGATTGTTTTATACTATTGACTAAAAAGGATTGAGATGATTACTTTTCCCCTAAGATGGCTCTTAAGAGAGCATAAGCAACAATCTCAAATTGTCAAAAGCTCAGACTCTTGATAAATTACTGTAGCGAAGCAAACTTTTCTATGTGATTGTATGACCAAGCACATGGTGGACATCCTTAGGAACCCTGCATCATTCAATAGCATACTGCTACAGTGAACTTGCTTACATGAGGCTGTGGTTTGTATACACTAAGGAGAAAGAGCATAAACATAGCTCATGAGGCACGTGTATAGCATGCACAGCTGATTATTGCTGACCGACATGCAGTAAAAACTACTGAGTAAATAGTGAAACTTCCTTCTCTTTTCTAGGGCTGCCCACCACACATCATTGGATCAAAGCTCTCCACCTCTTAGTGGAACGTCTCCATCCTACAAGTATACATTACCAGGAGCACAAGATGCAAAGGATGATTTCCCCCTTCGAAAAACTGGTAAGTTGGTTTAACAAGAACTTTGTTTGCTCTTCTGTAACACACCTGTAAGTTACATTTTGCCACACCTCTAGAAGAAAGTCAAAGGATTTGAATCATAGATAATATACCTCCCCACTCCTGCCCCCAGCATCAGCAAACATGCTCATAAGCACGTGCACATGCACACACATACCCTACTTATTTCTATATCAGTTGATTCACAACATAATCAAAATACCTCTTTTTCAATTTAAAAGTTCATCGTATTTTAATTTTAGCCAAATTATTTTCTTATTAGGAATAAATAAAAATAAAAATTTGATATCTCAGAAAACCTAACACTTCTCTATTAGATAGGGCCTCTGTAATATCTTTCATTGACCTGTTTTTCTGCCGTACCTCAACCATTTACCACAAAAATTAGAACAATAAAGTTTAATTTTTCTGACAAATATTTTACAAACCTTAAATTTTCATTGTTTTCATGGTGAAAGCAGTGAAGGCCAAAGCTACCTTCTGAGTAAGTGACGTGCCTTATATCTCGTGGATTATAATAGAACTCAGAGTGAAATTATAATTGATAATCTCATGTAGTTATGTTAACATTTATATAGGGGAAATAGCACAATGAAGCTTTTATGTAGAATTTAGTAAACAGTTCTGTGGCTCTAAGGATTGTGTTTGTTGTTCCGTCTTCGTCTCCTTTCTGAGCATTCTGATATATATATATTTAATGTCTTATATGCGCTTACTGCTATAATAAATGTTTAAACTTTAACTAGATACATGTATAAATAGCATTTGTGTACATTCTATTCTAAATCTCATGTTGTTTGCCAAATATAGTTATTTAGAGACAGTAGTAAATTTAAAAATGTTTGTCTCCACAACTGATCTTAAAAGATATTCATATAAGATAGCTTGGTCTATTGTATTTGACTCAGATCTACTTGAAGAAGTATAGATTTATTTATTTTATATAAGTGCAGAGTGAAAATGATTTCAAATAATTACATTCATTTTCCCAAGCAATTTTGAGTAATTAAAATGAATATAGATTGTAAAAACACATGCCGAAGCTATTTTCTGTCATATCATTTACCTGTAGCATAATGAAGATTTAAAAATAAAATCAATTATGAATTAGAATTTATTATTGGCCATCTAGCATATATTGTAGGCACTAGGAAATGATCTTTAACTATTGCAGAACAACCTGTGGCTTTTTAATTTAAATAACCCAAAGATTTTTGCATTTCTACTAAAAGATGGTAAGTATTATAAAATACTTCAGTGGAAGGCTATTCAAAGACAAAGATAATTGAGTTTTATGTATTGCATCAGAATTTCACACTATTATCTATAAATCAGAGTGTCTTATAAATAAACTTTTCTAGGATAAAAGCAAGAAAGCAAAAAGTGAACCTCTATGTTATTTCTAAAACATGAGTATAGTTTATGAAAAGTGATCCATAAAGGACATGAGTTTTAGAATGTGGGGACTTTGATCTGCAGGCTTGACATTTATTTGTGAGTAGCATGAGTAGGAGCTATTTACTAAGATTATGTAGATACTACCCCAGGTCTTAGGGAAGTGACTGACATTCAAGAGTCCAAGGAGTTACTAAAAGGAAAGAAAAATATGGATTCCCCTTATGGCAGGAGGTTACTGATGAGTGATACAGTTACATTCACAGAGAAAGACTTCTATCCTGCTGAGCGCAGAGCCTTTGAATATATCCTTACCACTGGGAGATTGAAAACTGACTGCAGAACTGATACTGACTTTGAAAAGAAGTGGCATTTGGGAACATTAAGCACCCAGAGAGAAAATCTGATGTTTTTAATACTTAAGGAGAAGTACTAAAAACTCATACTTTGTGTCCCACTGTTGCCATGCAAACAGCTTAAGGTTTTTCCTCTGTGAAGAATAACAAGCTGTTAATTTATTCTCGTAGATTTTCCCAATCCACAACACAATTTAAAAAGAAATCCTTCTCATGATATATATGTTACAAACCCTATTTAAATTTGCACAAATATGCAAGACATTTTCTGTGCCTTATTATGTGCTATATAATAATAGTGAAAAATCCCTGGTCTTTTCTAGAGGTATTTTTTCTGTATTTGATCAGTATTTCATGTTTCTTCCTTTTATGTTGAAAATCTGATATTTATGAAGTATCTGGCTGTTGATCTATAAAACTAAACATTTTCAAGCATTGTAGCAATGAAGTTCTTGAACAGCCATTAATACTTTAATATCTCTATAGGGGTTTCAAAATATTCCTTAATTCAATTCCAATTGCCTGTTTAAGAAAAGTAAGATATAATTAAATACAGATGTTTTCTACACTCTATCTAAAATACTTAGAGATGCCCTTCATTAATTACAAAATAGGTGGAACACTTTCAGCTTTTATAAATATAATCCATTTTGTGTATTTCCAATTCCATTGTGAGAAAATTTAGACATATAGTTGCACTAAAAGAAGAACACTGAAATGTTGTCAAATAATAATTTTGACTTCAATGTTTATTGTATTTCAGTGACTCAAAAGTCTTTACAATCTAAGTGAACAATAAAATTTTACCATAATAAAACATATGTGATGACTGGGGAAACTGTTTAAGATAGTTTGTGTAAAGCTACATCATACTAAATGAAATCTAGAATAGTGTCATTGATCATAGAGTGTAAACACCAGCACAGCTACTGTAGAGTGATGCTTTGTTATTAGAGCCAGATTCTAAACCTCTCTTGTCTGCTTGGATTTCACTGAACTCAATCTTAGAGTTAAAAGAAGTTGTTAAATGAGTGTATTCTATCGTTTGATCTATGTATGATACTATTTTAGTTTCTTTTTAAATCTACATCAGCAATATGTATTAGCAAGCAAGATTTACAAGAGTAAAACTGGAATCAGAGTTAGAAAAGTCCTAATGGTCTTACATTGATTGAGGTAGCCCTAGGATGTCCCTTAAGCAGGGAACACAATTTGACACCTCTCTTGACCTTTTAGGACCTTCCCCAGACAGTGATAAGCCAGGAACAGTTAACTACAGAAACCTCATTTGCCTGCAGAAATCTGACCTTTGTCACGCAAAGTAGACCTTTACTTCCTTCCCCTTAGGAGAATCATAGTTGCTCCTAGAATTTGGGCATTTTAGAAACATGGAATTATATTAAGAGTTGACTCTAACCATGCCCATTCCAATTCACTTTTCTTTAAAATGTAAGAATGGAGTGTCTTCTCCTCCAGCCCCTGGTTTTGAAGTGGAAAATAACATAATTGTTTTTAATTTTTATATGCATTGCCCACACTTAAAATAGTACTTCCTTCTAGAATTATACATTGTAATTCATTTTGTTCTATAACACAAGGATATGTTGATATGAAAATGTGGAATATTTTACTAAACTTATACTTCGGCTGAAAATGGTATCATTGCTGTAGTAGATGACTTTATTGTTTTTATATAGTAAACTGCTGAACTGATGATAAACTATCAAGTAGGGAAAGGAAGTTTTGGAAATAGTACATATTTCCTGGCAGTTTGGAAATGGTATATATTTCTCACAGAGATTCTACATATGTGGTGATTTTGAACTGACCTTCAAAACCATTTGATTGGATTCTGTTCCAGTGAGTGTGTGCATATGTTTCATAAAATATCGTGATAAAAATTTCTAGAAGTTTTATGCTCCATTATATTATTGAGGTTTTACCCAATGAACTTTGCCTTTCTTTGAATATTACAGTCTTTCCATTTAATACTTCTGAACAAAGTGAGTTGGCTGGCTAGATTAACCTCTTAAAGTGCACAAGCCATATAAAGCTTGGCTTGGGCTAATAAGAGACTTTTCCAGCCCCACTGAAATATTTATTTTAATGGTCAGCAACACTAGAATAAGACTCAAAGATGGAAAGAGTCCAAACATAAGTGAAGGTTTTGGAAGGCCAGTATCATTTTCCACACTGAGGAAATTGGAAAGAAGGCAGAGATGAGATATGTAGCTTTGTAAATTACCTTTTGGTATAGCAGTCAGCAGTTATGTTCTAGTACCTTGATGACCTCTTCAAATCATTATAATAAAAATTAACACAATAATTATTTTTAATGGTTTAGAATATCTCTTCCTCTCTCTCCCCCTCATTCTGTGTCTTTCAGAATACACTTGTGCATGTGTGCATTGTATACATGAACATTATACACATTTCTGCAAAGATATCATTAAGATGGCTTAGGCTTATAATGATATTTGCTCAAAATCTTATTCAAGATTGACAAACACTGGAGCATTTTTATATATCTTAGTACTCTATCTTGGTTACGTTGTTTTGACTAAACTTGTTTAAAATTATTGAAATAAACTTCTTTTAATGAATCTTATACTCATTTTCTCAGAATTGAGAAGTAATATGGCCATTGTAATTCAGGCTTTGAAGCTACACATACCAGTTGAAAATTTGGGTCCTCAATCTTGAGAAGTTAATTTAACCTCTCTAGGCCACGATTCCCTCATCTGTCAATTGAGGATAATAATCGCACTTGATTTGCACAGTTATTTTTAGAATTCAATTAAATAATGCATGTAAAGCACTTAGGATCATACCTAGGATTTAAGGAGTGCTTACTCTTGACTGTATGTTTGTAGTTGATAAGGAAATTTTATTTATTTCTATTATACCAAAACTAAATCTCTTTTTTGTAGAAGGTCTTTTTAATGTCTTACATTCTTCCACCTTTATTAATAAAACAACTAAGCTAAGAAAAAAGTGAGCAATATTTTCTTTTTAAGCTGTGGGCAACTCGCAAGGCTATTGTCAAAATGAGGGTAAAGTTATTTGCTAATTTTGCATATTCTCTGGCATTTCAGAGCTCACTATGGTATCCAAAGAAGCAGCAGGCTGCATGCCTATAGTCCTAGTGACTCAGGAGTCTGAGGAGGGAGGATTGCTTGGCCCAGGAATTTGAGCCCAACCTGGGCAACATAGGGAGACCCTGTCTCTTAA